TGGCTGGGCTTGGGGAGGGGAAGGGATTGTGGACATCTGCCACCCCACCCAAACTGGGCTCTGGAGGAGGATGGGGGCATAGAAACAGGAAACGAGTTGTCACAGGGAGTTCTTTAACTCTATTCTTAAGGAGAATTTGTGTGTGCACCTGTATTGGTATAGAACTTCCAAACAAGTATTTAAAAAAAAACTAAAATAATTAAAACTGGTATGATTATGTAGTGCCATTTTGACCAAAAAAAAACCTTGCAGAATTTTAAAATGCTGTGCACAGATTTCACATATTTTTAGGGGGGTTGGTTTTTTTTTTGGCACAGAATTCTCCCCTCCCTCAAAAGGAGACAGTCAGTGGTTATACTCCTGCTTGAATGTTTGCAGTCTCAGGCTGTGAGTGTGTAAATTACAGAGCGGATCCTTGCAACTAATTGCATTTTCCTAGCTGGGAATTCCCAGGCTTGGTGATTGGGAGGGGAGTTAGAAAGCCAGCTTTGCTGGGAACTACCACTGGCTCTCTCCTCTTCTCTCTGCTAAAGTTACTCTACAGGGCCAGAGGCAGGGTGGAATCACTGTATTTATATAGCCAGAGAGGGGAAAATTGCCTTTGTAATGCATTAACCAGTTGAGAGCCTTAGTCAGTCCTAAAATGACAGTGTTATATTTGCAAATTAACTTTGTCAATTTTGGACTGACTAAGGATCTCAACTGGTTAATGCATTACAAAGGCAATTTCCCCTCTCTGGATATACACGTCTCCACACCAAATGCTGTGAATAACCTAATTCCCCACAAGCAACTTCTTCTGTAAATATCTATATCCCTGCTTCTGTAACTTTTTAATCCAATAAATCTGTTAGGGCACGTCGACACTAGAAAATTTCAAAATAACTAAAATCGATTTAGTAACTCCCCAAATAACAAAATTGAAATAGAGTGTTCTCCCTATGGGGAGGCCTCAAAATTAGTCTGAGGCAGGCTCAGTTATTGCAGACCTGTTACTTCAACTTAGAAGTAACTTAGAAGTGCTTAGGAAGCACTGGGGAGTAATTCTTTCGTAATAGCGGTAGCGTGGATGCGGTGCTGCTGCTACTTTGAAATAACTATTTTGAAATAAGCGTTATTCCCTGAGGAAAGCAGAAGTTCAGATTTCGAAATAACGGGCTTGGTAGTGTGGATGTTCCGCTTATAAATTTGACATAAGGGGGGTTATTTTGAAATAACTCCCTAGAGTAGACTAGGGCTTAGTCTCTAAGGTGCCACAGGACTCCTTGCTGTTTTGGCAGATACAGAACATGGCTACCCCTGAGACTCTTGAGCGAGGAAGTTCCGCCAAGGATCCCTCCACTAGAGGGAAGTCCTTGGGAAGATTAAGCTGGCATAATGGTTTCAAACCCCTCAGTTTCCTCATCAGCCCCCACAGAGGGAAAGCAGGGAATGAGGGGAGGGCAGGTGATCTGCCTGATCTCCTACAGCTAGAACCCATGGAAGACTGCTGGAGCCTGGGGCTATGTCTACACTAGGGGTTTTTCCGGGATACCAAAGGTATCTCGGGGAAACCCGCCATATCCAGGGAATGCGTCTGCTCTTCCGCTTTTTTTGTGGAAGAGCAGACACGTTTTTTCAGAAGTCCAGTCTTCCTCATTCTACGAGGAAGAAGGGCTCTTCCAAAAGAGGAGGTTTTTCTGAATTTTGGCCAGAGTAGACGGGCCAAATTTCAGAAAAGCCTCTCCCAACAAAACTATCGGAAAAAGGTACGCAAATTGTGGAGCACAATTTGCATACCTTTTTTCGAAAAAAACCCATAGTCTAGACATAGCCTGAGGCTTGAAGAGAAAAGAGTCCTGAGGAGACAACCCCCATCCCTGTGGGGGGGGGGGGGGGCACAGGAGTGGCTTAGAGACACCTTATTCCCACTCTCCTCTGCTACCAATCCATCCTGAAACCTTTAATGTTAAGCACAATGACATTTTTCCAGTACAGATGAGCCCCTCTATGGTGCACCCAGGCCTGGAAGGACAATTCAAGTTTCATCATGAGCTCTCCTCCCGACCCACGGCCCTACAGCTTAACAGATGACAGGTTCAAATAAATAATCAAATTGGTTTTATCATCTTGCCTTCGGGAAAGCCCGTTTTCAGTGCTTCCCCACACCTGCCCATGACTCCAATAAGATATCACTGAAGGCAAGAGTGCTGCAGTTGCAGAAAAATATATATATATATATATTTACAGCAATAAGAATACATGTGCTAGGTATTCAGATTAAGGGAAAAATGCATTACATACACCAATGAAAATACATAAAAACATGGGGAGGCGGGAGACCAACTGCCAACAGCAATATACAAAAAAAATCTGTCACAGCTACTGCAACAGTGCATTTCCAAGGAGTGTGTTAAAACAGAGAGAACATCTCTATGCACATTTGATAGCCTGACACTTGGTTACAGAGAAATAGACCAGAGAGTTCTCCTGCTTGTGCCAGATGGTGTGAAGCAAAGGGGAGGAAGGTTTGCTTTCCCTTTTTATTTAAATGGAAAGTGTGTGAACTTTAAAAAAAAAATTCCACAGCAATTAACTTCTAGCTTTTACTTTTAGTTAAAAGGCCCCATTTCTTCAAGAAATTGGCCCAATCCAAAAAGCACATCAACTGTTTAAATCTAGCCCAGTTCAGATGAAAGCGTTTAATTTTACACACATCCTCAACTCCAATAGGACCCAAGTATGGCAATATGCTTAAATTAAGCAAGCGCTTATGTACTTTCCTGATTCAGAGCATACAGATGTGGGCACAGGGATAGGCAATATTTGGAATAGGTAATTTGGGTGAGTGAAGCTACTTGTGAAAGGGTGAGGTGGGGGTGGGGGAAGGAATACATTGCATGTTACCCGTTACTGGTGTCTTAAAAGTGTGCTTTTGAGTTTTAACTGCTCAAATAGTTAAATTAGTTTACATCAGGGATTAAGCAACTGCAAAAACCTGTAGGACCTCACCATTCTCTCTCTCCTAGGAGTTCAGCAGTGTGCTTTGGTGGCGGGGAAGGGAATTTAGGCTAATTGTTTAGATTAAAGTTTCTCTTTAAAACAACGAAGTGGATTCGCATGCAGTCAGTAACCTTTCAAAAAGTCGAAGCCTTAAAATGCAGGTGCAGGACCCTAGAATTAATTTTAGTGGCCCAGTGATAAATAAAGGCATACACTGCAATGCCTCAATGCTATAAGGACCCTGGCCTAACACATACCCATGCACACAACAACAGATAGGCAGTCATCCTGAAGATGGATATGTAGCCTTTATATTAAAAGCATTTTGCTAACAGTGGCAAATAAGTGGATGGCGTTTTCACACGGATATTCACGATTCTGCCCCTCTCCTCCTTTCATCATAACAGATACTCATTTTCAAAAAGGTCCAGGTTTGACCAAAGGTTTCACTAGGAAAACTCCGGCAAAACTAAATTCAGTAGAGGGCGATGTAGTGAGCACCAGTCAGGAACCAAACCTGGCTATGTTGAATTTTGGGGAGTACCCTCATTCATCTGAAAGAAAGAGTAATTCTTGTTTTTCAAAGGGAGGGGAGACATCCATAGGTTTCCACTGTACTTCATCTTTACAACTAGAGGTAGAGTCATTACATCCAGTATCTAAAACAGCGTGATCCAGTTATATTGTTATTCATATACAGCAGCGATCTCATCACAGATATTGAAAAGTGCATGAAAAAAACAAATCAAGCCGATTTTATGACTCACGGATAAGGTACCAGACATCATATAAACATACCCACGCGCCCACTCACACATAATATATATATTTATAGAATCATTTACAGTATCAGAGTGATGTTTAGATCCAGTGGCATGTGCAGAAATATCAGGCAGCTGCTTTTTAGGTCCTTCAATTTTTTATTTCCAGGATCGACGGGTTGTGGTCTAGGATGGCCAAAATGATCTTGTCCATATACTGTCGCAATCTGTAGTTGATCTCCTCCTGTTCTTTAAGAGCTTCCATGAGCTGAAACAGAGGGTCCAAAGTTAAGGATCTATTGCAAAATGGGACTCGTATCTACAGCACTCTAAAATAAATAAGACAAGGCCAGGCCTCGGGCCACCTCTGTATTTTAAAAATTACTCATTCCCTGTAATGATATTCTGGGCCTTCTCTTTACGCTCTCTTGAGGTGAGAGCAACAAGGTAGACAAGTATCCCCATTTTACAGTTAGGTAAGTGAATGTAGGGATAGTATAATGTCGGCAGAAGTTACATTGGTCAATGGGGGGGGGAGGAAGAGAGGGAGGAGGAGATGAATAAACCACCTCCCCAATCTGAACGACATAAGTGGAATTAAGTGCCATGGGCAAGCTCTCTTGGCACAGAGCTTCTTCCCAAGATGCATTGCAGCAGCACCACTGCAGTATTGCACACGTAGACATGCCCCTAACTATTCTTGGGCAAGTCACTTGAATCAGGGCCAAAGCTGTAAATAGGATCTAGGCCTCCTGCCCTGGGTTCCACCATCATGGGCGGGTGGTGGGTAACGTAGGCAAGGGAAGTCTTCCCAAAACTGCCCATGCAGTCTGGCCCCAGCCCTCCCAGGCTGCCGGGGACGACAGCCCAGCTCCTTGGCTGATTAGGAAGAATCAGGCTTCAGGGATGGGATTGGGCAGGGCTTGGCTTGGCTCCATGGGGGGAGGTTACTGCTGGGGAGGGGCCTAGAGTGGAAGGGGCAGGGCTGGAGCTTGCCTTCCCTCTCTGGGCCATCAGCTGCCCCCCCCCAAGTAGAGCATGGTGCACATTCGTGAATGAGTATGTATGTGTTTCCTCATCCTAGGGCATACATTAAGAAAACCTTTTAAAGCACTCCCACATCTATGGGGAACAAGGGTAGTATAAATACAGAGATTTGAGCAACAGTGTGAGAACTGTAAAATATATAGTGTTTTGACGTTACAGATTTTTGTCCAAATAAAAAAGATTTATTTCAGCACTAAAAGCACAATATTCGTGATTATCAAACTTGGGGGGGAGGGACAGGGGGAGAGAAGGAACATGTGTATCCACTCTTGATCGGACAGCATTTTTTGTTCAATTAAAAGACAAGTTGCTTTACATACACAGCGTGTTCAGTCTCAGACTTTCAAAGCTAAGAGATTTGGGTGCCTCGTTCTCATTCAGATTAATTGTTTTGGGACATCTAGCTCAGTTAGGTGGCCTTTAAAAATCTCAGGCAGAAACAATTTCATCTTCTATTTACAGTGAGAACCCGTTAAACAGAAAACATTAGGATAAAAGAAGTTTAACCGGTCTGAAATTTAATATGCACGGTCCACTGTTCATTAAGATGGCAGCAGAATGTTTGTCAAACACACAAATACATGTCTTTTCTGGGAGGAAAACAGGAACAAGAGTCTACATGAATTCTTGTGTCAAATTAGAAGCAAAATCCCAAGCTTGATATTGAGAGTGAGTAAATGGTCTGAAGGCTCAGTTGCCTCTTTTAGAAAGAGAATAGCAGGTGAGGTTGCGAGTAGGAATACAGAGATGACAAAAGAGTGGCCAAAATTGTTCAGGGACAATGATTTAGTGCCAAAATTAAGGCACATGTTTTTGAAAAAGGCCTGAAGACCCATCTTCTGGGGGGAGGGGGAAAAAAAAAAAAAAAAAAAAATCAGTCTGACAATGAATTTCTGGTATCTCTATTTAGATCTAAAAAAATGGAGGTGCTCCCACAAATCACAAAGGAAAATCTTGGCCAGCATCTCCAGATGGACAGGAACATACGTTTGTCACGTAATTGGACACAACAGTAGCTAGATGTGCCTGTTGAAATACAGGTCTCTCTCTTTCTTTTTTAAATATGCTTTAGAGAGAGTGTCTTGGTAAAAAAAATTCTTCCCCACCTTCCCTGATCAGAACTGCATTATTTGAACTAACTATAGCAATTATCGAGAGAGGGGACTTGAGCAGGACCAGTATTAGATAATGATCCAGAAGTCCTATTAGCTGCCCTAGTAAGACTGGACAGAAGACTCATTACGGTGGTTCGGGCAGCACACCACGCCTGCCTTCCCCTGGCTGGCCGGAGCATGCTTACTTTGGGGACTGTGGGAGGGGGGACTTTCACACTCTTTGCACCCCCCTGCGTACGGACCTGAGTGTTGATGGGCCTTAGAAAAACTCCAAGTGACATCACACAACCAGCCTAAGGCCCTGATTCAGCAAGGTACTTATGCACAGCCCTAACTTCCAACCCAGGAGTGATCCCCTGATATCAACAGGTCTATTCAAGTGTTTAGTTGGGGCGGGGGGAGAGGGGTTCTATATGCCAATTCACTCTGATAAAAGCAAAAAGGAAACTCTCTATCTAATACTTAGATCAGGTTCCTGCATTTTACATCTTTGGGTGCCTTCAAAGTCCATGACCCTTGTGGCTTGAAAGAACCTTTGAATCATCTCATTTATTCCCTGCCTAAGTGTAAGAGCGTCTTTAAAATCTTGCAAAGTGTGACTTCATTACGTGTCTACATTATGGGTAGAACCCTACCAATTTCATGGCCAAGAAAAGCCTGCCATGGACTGTGAAATTAGCCCTCCCCTGTGAAATCTGATCTCCCCTGCTACTTGTCCGGTGGCTCGGGGGAGGATCAGGAGTTGTCCTTCCCTGCGTGACTGCTCTTGGTGGAGTGATCAGACCTCCCTCCAGAGACAGCACAGAAATGAGGGTGATACACTTGAGAGCTAGGCTCTACTTCTTGCCCTGCAGAGGTTTGGGGGTGATCTGGTAGGAGTCTTTGTGCTGGGGCTTCTCCCAAGGCTGGAGCACCCATTTTCCTGAGGGAGGGGATCCTCCCAAATTGGCCAAACTGATTATCTGCTTTAATCAGTTCCTGGCATGGACTACAAACTAAGAGCCCTTGGCGGGGGTGCAGCCAACAGCATGGGGAAAGATTTTTCCCATCTCCCCCTCTCGGGACCCTCCCTCTAATTGCTGGTAGGGTGCTGCCTTCAGAGCCCAGGTCTGAAGGCAGCAGAGTAGGGAAGGTAACAATCTTAGGGACTCCTCTACAAAAGCTCTGCAACCCCCCTGCCCATGATTGCATTTTGAGTCAGAACCCCCATGATTACAACTCTGTGAAATTTAATCTGAAATTGTGAAATAGACGGATTTTAAAATCCTCTGGCCATGAAATGGACCAGAATGGGCCGTGAAATTGGTAGGGCCCCTAATTATGGGTTTGTGGACAGGAACCTTTCATTGTACTATTTGGTTAGGCTCCAAAATACGATGAGTTCTTTGGTCAGTATAGTTTCATTGAAGTCAATGGAGTCTCACAGGCTTTCGTAGGCCAAATCCTTTTTTGAAAAGTCAGCTATCGGGGCTCAGATTTTTTCTCTGTCTTTGGTGTAAAGGTAGGCAGGCCACCAGTCATCACAAACACATGGCCTTAGCATTAACTCTATTGAAATGAATGGGTGTCACAACTGGGACAAGTTTGGACTGGTTAGTAAAAGTAGGCAGCAACATTTATAGCTTCTTAGCAACTGGGAGGTGTGTTGGATTTTCACAGGCTGTGGCAACTGAAAATGAGAAGGCAACATGTAAACTCAGTGTGAAGCTTGAGCAAAAATCTCTTGGTGATACAGGAGTAAATCCAAAGTCACGCCTCAGAAGTTAATCGAGTTACTCCATCTTGACACTGGAATAACTCAGACCAGAAAAATCTAGGACTGCATTTTAAGAAATGAGATACTATACGGCACCTGCTAGTATCTATAGCAGCAGTCAGACCTTAAATAGGTAGCACTGAATCTATAGGCTGCCATCATTCAAAACAAAACTGTGTTAAGATGGAATCTTTCCATCGTTTTGATTATAATGAAATTGGGTAACGTTAAAATAAACATCTGATAAGATTATGACGTTTAGCTAAATTCCTGGCAAAACAGGATTTATGTTGTTGATTTGTCTTTTGACAGTAATCAGTTCCCCCTTGTTAATTATAGTCTGTCATTAGCATTGTTTTGCATTACCTCATCTCTGGATGCAGAGTCAATTTCAGCAGCCAATGATTGGGCTTTTGTCTGTGTTGCGAAGAGATTCTTAGCTTCATAAAGACTAAGACTTAGAATCTGTCCATTAAGGTCATCATTCTGGTCACGAAGTTTCTGATTCT